AATTATACAGCAATATTCTTATCAAATATTAGATATCATTATGAAAATCTTGCCAATAATTACTTCTTTTTTCATTACGTGTTAAAAACACTAATATGCAAATTAGATACAGTGTATAGATTACATTGTGTTTAATGGGAAAACCTGTTTATGGCCATTTTATGCACATGTTGCATAAATCAAAATGGTATATCAAATCATTTATAACATAGTTGAGAATCATTTTTATACAAAGTTTGGTATAAAAAATTAAAATTCTTATGCTCTGAACAATGTAATGACATGAAAAAATATTAAATTCAACTTTTTTTTCTGGTAGTCAGGAGAATATATATATATATATAGCACTATTTAGTACTTCATCATCTTCGTCCCGTGAGACATGCGGCACTGAATGCGTCTCTGTGAGGAAACAGACCTGCAGCTAAACGGTGAAACACGCGTGACGGTGTCATGAGACCCGAGAGAAGCTGTCGATGTGCTATAACAGTGTGAAAAGTGTTAAAAATGCAGGTAGCACATCTTATGGAAATAATAACTCATCAGAATGTGCTAACAGCATATGACGCTCATGCGGTGTGATATGATGTCAGGCTTTAGATCCAAACACTAAAGCCAGGCAAATATAGCGCTGGAAGCACATCCTGATGGGTGCCATGTGTTTCACTTTTTGCTTGAATAGACTTAGCTTTCTAGTTTTGTGTTGGGCTTTTACTGTCTGTACAGCAAAGTTCTTGATATACTTTTTTTCAGAAAATCAATTCAATGGGAAACAAGACTCCAGTGGCAGATATTTCTTCTTGTTTTATTCATAAACTCACTTCATTTTGATATTTTTTTCAGAAAACAAGACTTCATATCTTCTGTCATTTTGCTTTTCAAGCTGAAGTGTCTTGATTTAGGGATGTTTAGCTATTTGTGCTGGAAAACAAGACAGAACTGATCTAAACACGCTGTTTCTTGAACCGGATGATGATCAGCACTGTGTGTTTCTGCAGTAACTCGTACTAAATTAACAGGCGGCACATAATCATGAGAACATGCCTGGTTTGTGCGGCGAGTGTCAGGTCAGCGCTGGCCACAAAACTATGGATTCAGTGTGTGGGAAGTGCTATATGAGATTATCTTAATCTAGTTTTGTGCCTCAAATACCGACTCCCACACACAATAGCTTGCATAAGCTTCTGTGTCGAGATCTCCTTAAAGTGAAGACCGCAAACTCTTCCTCAGCCGTAAACCCCAGACTCGATGTTGAACACTGATGAGCCATTGTTTAAACTCTGCTCGGCAGCAATCATGGTTTTAGACCTAATTTTAAGATGGTGAGGCCTTTAGCTCTTGAATGCATTGGCACTGGTCTGTTTCTGTGCAGATTAGTGTCAGGATTAAATGATGGCTGAATAGCAGCAGATAGGACTGTGTAGGTGGTTCGTGCTTCAACACCTCAAGCCAATCGCAGCTTGTATTCCCATTATACCACAGAGAGGACTAAATGCATTACACAGCCCATCCGTCCCGTGACAGCCGGTGTTTTATGTGCAGGTTCACTGATGTACTGCTGTCCTGAAGATGATTCTCCGCTGTTGCCGGAGCAGATTTAAGAGCAAGCGTGGGCCGACGAAAGCTAATGGACCCTCGATGGCAACCATGAAACCTCTATTCAGTGCAATATTCGTATTTTAGGGCTGTGAGGTTCATTTTACATGAAGTCAAGTAACATGAATGTGTTGTCCTCACTTGACCCAGTGTTCTCCGGCGAAATAAAGCTTCTTTATTGGCATCGACGGCTCCATGAAGAACCTTCGACATCCACTGAACAACTAAAGGTGCTTCATAGTGGAGACATGGTTAAAAGTTGTACTAAAAATCCTTTCCTTAATTTAGTGTTCCCGCTCGGAAATGACCAGTCTTTTAAAAATCACTCTCATTATGCTATATTATCACCAAATCTTGGATTTTTATCTTTTTATCAGCTTGTTTTCTTTCAGTTAGCACAGGTTTTGTGTTTCTTTTTGGAGCTGGTTGATATAGGCCTCATAGTTTACAAGTGAAAAAACATCATTTTCTGGATAATTTTGGCAATGTTGGCTCAAAATCTGAGCTCAGATCTGTGCTAATTGAAAGAAAACAAGCTGACAAAAAGATTGAATACAAGATTTGGTAATAATACAGTAAAAAAGTAGGTCGGGCGTTTTAGAGCAGGAATGTGACGAGGTGATTGGGGGGGTGTGAGCAAAGTTAGTAAGTTTCAGTCCAATGCAATAACATTACCTAGCATTTACAGTAAAAAGAAAATGCTTTCTGTTTCAAAATAACAGGAATATAACATGAGATCATCATTAAAAGGTCCTTTGGGGAACCACAAATGGTGTTTCGATGGCATCAGTGCAAAACTCTCTTGCAGCCTTTGTTTTGAAGTGTGAAGCATCCTGCAGGGTTTGCACTGGCCAGGTATCTTAAGTTTGACTGTTTCATGTGATCTTGAAGCAATCTAGTTTATGACGTCCCACGTCTGCAGCAGGAAAACAAGCGCTGCGGCGTCTGGAGACGAGGGCGGCCTGGAGAGGTTTGTAAATGTTGGAGTCGTGACCCGGTGGGCCCGTTTGCTTCTTTAGACGTGGACACCGCCGCTGCGATCGATCCTCCTTTAGAAGCGAGAGCCAGTAATTAGTTGGGATTTTTCCGAGAAGCCACCAAAGAGTGTGAGGGCTTGCGAGTGGGAGTGATTTTTCGCCCTAAACATGCACATTGCTGGCTGGGGTCAGGCCTGAGTCTCCAGCGCACCGTCCCATCGTGCCCCGTACCATAGCATTTATTTGGCCGCTTTGCCAGCCATTGATTTCTAGAGGACGTCTGTAGGGAGCTCTGCAGCTAAATGGCACGGCGGCGGCCGTCAGCGCTCGATAGGGGGATCACGGAGCTTCTACAGGATCCTCTAAACCGCTCGGAGACCCGTATCCCATTAAATCATGTCTTTCTCAGTGGCCTCCCCGTATCCCACCCCACACACACACAGCATCCGTGCCTCCTACGCCGCTCCCCTCACTCCTCCACCCTTCATCAGCATCTTGGCATTGTTACCGGCTTCCCGGGGGAAACATCCCACGCAGCTCTGAATGGTTTATCTTCTCGCAGCACAAAGCGGCACATCGCGGGAGAGAGAGGCTGTGTGTGTGTGTCCCCTCCCTCCTCTCGCCGGTGTTTGTCAGCGTGTGAGCGGCCTCTCGCTTTCTGAGATCCGGCTCATTTCAACACGCCGCTCTCTGTAGTTCACACGAGAGTCAGATCCAGCGCTCGTCACCTGCGAGTCGGCCCTCACGCGTGCTTCATTGTTCTGAGCCAGTTGTCTTATTAATTTCTCCTAACTGTTTTTGAGGGGGAAGCAGAACAGGCTGTTTTTCATGCACGTTAAGCCATGACATGTTTTCACATTAAATGCATTGAATTGAACGGAAGGTGAATTTACGCCGTTTCCCGTAATGTTATTGCACTGGACTAAAACTTACAGATTTTGCTCAGACTGGCTATAATGACATAATAAAATGTTAGATTTATGTTTGATAATTTTTGTACTTTTTGGGGGTTTTCCCTCTGACCTTGTTCCACTAATGGTGTTTAAAAACCTGCTTATAAATCTCCATATGCTTTATTATTAGCAAATCTTAGATTCAATCTTTTTATCAATGTTTCTCTCAGTTAGCACAGGTTTTGTATTTCTAACTGATTGATTGTAGGCCTCATTTATCTGAGCTTATGCACCTAAGATTTTGATTGCCAAAATTATTCACAAATAATGCATATTAATTCCTATGAGATGTTATTAATTCAGTTAAAGTTATATGTGTAGCACAATGCATATTGTTTCTGAGAAAATGCATGTTTCAGAAAATGCTGTTATCAGACATGAGTTTGCCAAAGTGCAAGTTATCGTGGGTTGTTTCGAAACTAGTCCCTGTTTTCCTCTCAATACAGGCTTATGTAAATCTGGCACTCGTGGCGTGAGGTGCTGAAATGACCGAACATGTCGATCTCGTGCAGAGGCACATAAATGATGCAGATGACCAGATGTTTTCGATGCAACCACCCAAATGTTATTTTACAGTCTGATCCATCTCTGTGGCTCTCCAGCCTCCTTCAAACTACACAAAGTCCCAAAGTCACCGGTGTGTGATGGAGCAGCTCTACAGATTTCCCATGATGCACCAGTGAGAGTCTCTTGACCTGTTGTGCAGGAAAGAGTTCAAGTTCTCGCGTTTATCTCGCCCTTCACAACATCCACTCGCCACTGGATTAAGTCCTCATCCTCTTTCAGGTGCGTGTATTTTCATATTTTCACTCCGGTGGCTTGGAAAAGCAAATGGTCTGAGGCCCATGTGTGATTTCTCTGTCTTTCTTCCCTCCCTCCTCCCTGTCAGTTATAGTTAGCTGCTCATTGGGCTCTACAGCTGAAGATGAGAACGCTTCTGCAAACAGCTGAATACCGAAGAGCGTGTCACGCTTGTTATTGGAGTGTAACTGTCTGCAGATACGTGTCGAGAGCATATTGAGAGGGTCATTACCCGTGAGTCCGTGCCGCGCCGCCGTCTGCAGAGATCAGTCGTATCTCAGCTCTGATATCCAGCGTTATGATGCTGTCTGACCTCCGTGATCTCTTCCAAACTTCCAGCCTACTTCAGATATAGAACATGAACATCAGAGCCACGGCTTTTATTTGAGAAAAGCACGTCAAGCTTTCGATATGGCTCCAGCTTTTATTTCTTTAAGGCCCGATTCAAAGTACATTCATAATAAGTGCAAATGTATGATAAAATAATTTTTAAATTACAAAAATACAAATTTTTTACAAAAAAAAATATTACAATTATATTTTTATTTTGTATTATTTTGAGTATACATATATATAGTAAATTGGAGATCGGTGCAAAAGCAAGTCGAATAAAGACAGCAAGGCTTATAATTTTTTCTATTTCAGTATATATTTAATATTTTGAATGTTTTATATTAATATTTATATATTGTGAGGTGGAGATGGAGCAGCAGCAAACACATGAAAGCCGGTCTGATGTTTTCGAGTTGCTCATGAAAGCAGGAGGTTCGCTCTTCAAAGAGCGCGAGGAAGATGAAGAGCCACATGAAAGGATGAAGGTCCGTCCTGAAAGACCTCCGCTTACGCTGTGAATGACGGCCACAGAAGAGCCGAGGTGTAAAGTGACGGGTTGAAGAGAGATGTCCAGATGACGGCAGCTGCTCTTTGGGAATCTCACCAGGTAAGAGCTGCATGTATTTATAGACGTCTTTGACATGTTTAATGCTGGGCTCTTCTGTGTTTTCCAGGCAGATGGGCACCACATGAAGGCCTGCTCACAACAAGAAGATTAAATAAGGTAATTACCACAGTGTGTCTAAATACATCAAATAATATGATCTATAGGAGTTTATTAGTTTAAGGCAAAATACCCTTGAATACCCTACCCTAGGTTATATTCAAATATGCAAATGAGGCATCATGTAATTAAATATGCACTAATTGGCAAACATTTGATATGAACAAACCTACAGAATATAGAGAGGAATAAAACTCTAAAGTTTGGTGTTTGTAAGAGGAAAAAACTCTTTAAAGATTCAAATCTACAGAGCAATAAAAGAAACACTTAAATGTGTATTTTGGACGTTTTCTTTGCACTAGTCTGAAAAAACACTTTAAGAAAAGCCAAAGAGCCCAAAATCTGAAAACTGACCAGTGCGTGTAAAAACGTTTTTTCCTGTAGTCTCTCGCCTTAATTCAGTCCAAACTTCTTCAATCCTTTGGATTCAAGTCACATTTATTTCTATAGTGCTTTATACAATACTGATTGCTTCAAAGCAGCAACAGGAAAATAACAGTGTTCCACAGAAGACAATAGTGTCATTATTCACATCATGACACGCAATGTCTTTTATATGTTTCTAGTCACTCTCTGTGTTTTCCACATGAATGTTGCTCACGATTGTTCACGTTGACGTGCGTGTTTTCTATTTCCGTCCCATCGCTGCTTTCCTGCTCCTCCTTCACCCATTACCAACCGCTTTGATGGCCCAAAGTTCTGCTGCGCATCGAGCCGCACGTCTCTACATCCTCCTCCACAGATTTCACTACTCCATCCACCCACCATCCATCCGTTTTTGACTCGGCCCAGGAGGATTATGCCATTCTTCACAGGACGAGATCTCAGCGAGTGGGCAGGAGAGTCAGCAGCGGGCCCCTAATGACAGCGACGCCCACGCACCTCCAAAACCAATTTTACCCTCGCTAAAAGAACAGCCCGTGCACGTTCCCATGCATACAAATGTCCGATCGATGGCGGTCAGCAACTCTCGGCCCGCAGAGGTTTAGTGAGCGCCGGATCGATGCGAATGACAGGTGTTAGAACCACCTCCAACAGCAATCCCTGGAAATGTTGGTTTCCACTCGGCTCTCGTAATCTCGTTAGGGATGTGAATGGCTCCCTTTTGAAAGGCGGCGATGCCGGAGAAGAGGAGGGCGGCATGGAGAAGGACTATTGGATTAGAGTAATCCGGGACGAGAGCTTCATTGGAGGGCAGCGTTCCATCTCTTGTGCTGGAGCTGCAGATAAGGCCGTGGTCTATTGAGGGCTCGTCAGCGCTCACACTCAGAAGGTGTCTTGCAGTGTAAGCTGACCTGCTTTTGAACAGTCGTGC